GCAAAGCAGTCCACCCTAGATCAAAGTATCGATATCTGCTTAAGTAGAACAAATACAGCCCAACTCCAGCAATTGCATACGGAGGCAACAGCAGAGCCTTGTGCGGTGTTCAAGAGCAAAAGAATCGCCGTCGCAACAAGCCGATGGCCAAGAGCTAAGTTGCCAATTTTTTGGTCGCAGACATCCAAAACGAAAGGAGAGCTGTCCAGCTTTGGGTCGAACCTGTAGAAAGTGGCAAGAAAAATCATTTGTCCGGTGTTGTAGATCGACTCACGTCAGGTCAGTAGACAGTGAAAGCCAAAAAGACACGCAAGAACACAATAAATACCATGGAACATCATGCGTTAGAAATGCATCTCTGCGACGCTATTGATCTAAGGATGGACAGCTTGATTCCAACTTGATTCAAGAGCCATGATCAACATATTAGCCGAGAAACATTGTGTCAGTGTACAAGGGATGAAAATGCGGAGTTGCCTCAAAATTTGGAACGGCTCGAGGCTATGTCCAAAAGGGAGTGTCATCGTGACAGCTGTCAATCTGAAGAACGGAATGAAACACCAGCTTGAGTTCTTAATTTAATCAGCAGATCTTACGCCCATCTTGGGTATCGATTCGATCCAGCACCTTGGTTTTGTCTCCTTTAATCATGAGCCTTTTGTGCATTCGTGTAAGGCTAACGCAGACATTGTTGACTGCCACCCTAGCGGGGTTGATGGGGCTATTAGGAAATTCGAGGGATGCGCTCATTTATCGTTGAATGAATCGCCCAGGTCAGCAGTGTTGCCAGCCAAGAAAGTGCCAATTGCTTTATGTGAGTTAATCAGAATTGCAGCGTTTGTCTCGTTTGAGTGTCATAACCAAGAGTGATGAGCCGACAGGTTGGGTAAGCCAAGTGGCGGTCGCAACTAGGCAATCTGGTGATTTACGCGCGTTCATCGACCCAAAACCACTTAATACCGCGCTCAAAAGAGAGTATTACACCCTAATGACACTAGAAGGTATCCTACCGGTGTTATCCAAGGCGATAATGTTCACGGAGGTCGACGTCGCTTCAGCATTTTGGCGTGTAGAAAGTGATGAAGAGTCGAGCTATCTGATCACATTTGGGACGTCTTTCGGACGTTTGAGATGGCTTCACATGCCTTTTGGTTTGAAAGTATCCAGTGATTTTTCAGGAACGACTGATGCAAGTATTAAATGATCTACCCGGTGTGTTTTGTGCAGCGGATGACGTGTTAGTACTTGTGGCTACCCGAGAAGAAGATGATCGCCACCTCCACCAGTTTCTGCAACGTCGCATCCAAAAACATATCAAACGGAAGCGCGAGAAAGTCGAGCTACGCAAAACCGATGTGGTATTTCATGGACACGTGTTGAGTTCGAAAGGACTGAAACCGGATCGGAGTAAAGTCAGGGCCATAAACGAAATGCATCCCCCAACAGATGCCAAGGCTGTTAGCAGGCTGAACGGGATGGCTAACTATCTGAGCCGTTTCTTACGACACCAATCCGAAAGTTGATCCATAAAGATGAAACATGGTATTGGAGAGACGAACAAGGAAGTGCATTCCAGAAAATCAAGGAGTTGAGCACAGACGTACCCGTTCTCGCCTACTTTGACTTATCGCTCCCCCTCGAGATCCAATGTGACAGTAATAAATATGGAATCAGAGCCGTTCTCATGCAAAGCGGTAAGTCCATTGATTATCGCAGCTGCACACTGACAGAGGCCGAGCGTCGTTACGACCAAATTGAAAAAAGATGCTGGCGCTGATCTACGCCGTAGAACGGTTCAACGACTATGCATTCGGCCGCAAGACTACCGTCTTCACAGACCACAAGCCACTAGTATCCATCGCTAGTAAACCGCTCCATATCAATCCAAGTCGTTTACAGGGGAAGCTTATTCGCCTCCAGAAGTACGATCTTGAGATTATTTATCAGCCGGGATGCAGAATGCACATCGGGGACATGTTATCGAAAGCATACATTCTAGATGCAACAAGAATACAAGAAGACTCCGATTTAATTCATGTTACACAAATGATTGCTGTCCCTGAGGAACATCTACAGCAACTGCGACGGTGCAGCGAAGAGGATGAAGTATGCAAGCATCTGAAACAAACAATGTTGAACGGATGACCCGAAGAGAAAAAGAAGTTACCAAAGAAACTAACGCTGTTTGTTCCTTTCCGCGACGAACTCGTCATACAAGAAGGGCTAAACTTTAAAGGAAACCGGATCCTTGTCCCGAAGGCATTGTAGCGCCCCATGCTGGAGCTCATCCACTGCGCGCACCTGGGAATCAACGGTGTGGTAGGAGCGCGGGGACTGATGTTTCGGCCAGAAATGACCAACCAAATAGGAGATTACGTATTCAATCGCTTAACCTGCAGAACACATGACGTGTGCCAGCTAAAAGAACTTAGGTTGCTCCGCGAAATACTTGAGAGATCTTGGTGAAAAATCGCTCTGAATATATTTACCTATGAAGGAAAAAATTATTTAAGTGTGGTGGGCTACTTTAGTTACTATTTTGAGATTGATGTCCTAACTACAACCAGTGCGCAGGCCGGTGTAAACAAGCTGCGATGTCAATTCACTAGACATGGAATACCGGAAAAAGTGATCTCGGATTCCGGACCACGGTACACTAGCGCAAAATTCCGAGCTTCCAGCAAGAAATGGGATTTCCTTCACCGGCTCACCAGTCCATATCACAGCCAATCGAACGGAAAAGCTCAGTCTGCAGTGAAGGAGGCATAGAAACTACTCATCAAGGCCAGAGAAACACATGAGGATCCATACCTTTTGTTAGTAGAAAGAAGAAACGCGCTGTCTACGGAGAACAGAACAAGTCCAATTCAGCGTAGGTTCAGTCGCAGAACAACGAGGTTGTTGCTAGCAGTCACGATTTTACTGCAACCTAAGATTCAGTCGACCGCTGTTCTACAAGACTGCCTGAGAATGTTAGGACAAAAGAGTTATTATGATCGTGGATCAAAACGTCTTTCACCTCTGGTCTTGTGGGAAGAAGTATGGGTGCAGCCAGTAACTGGAGCTGCTAGGCGTTGGACGGGCATCACACGAGCATTACACTCGCGTAGCATGGGCAGAGTGAGGGCTTACGGCAAGCTGTCGCCACCCTTCAGTATCTCCATCGGTGTGAGACAAGGATGCCAGCTGTCACCTTTCCTTTTCAACTTCGCTATTGACGAAGTCATGGAGATTGCATTTACAGGACATGACTTGGAAGGTGTAGTGCTACTCCCAGGAGAATGACTTGGAGTATGCAGACGACATTGCCCTCATCTGTGACAGCTCCCAGACGTGCCAAGCCGCGCTGAACAGATTAGCACTGGCTGTCAGCCGCTTCGGGCTTTGCTTTGTATCATAGAAATGCAAAGCGTTCCTACAAGATTGGCAGGGATCGCCTCCTGCGCTGACCCATCGGTGGGGGTCAGCTAGAAGTCGTTCGGAAATTCAATTAGCAGGGAAGTTGTATCAGCGCCCTTGGGATCGAAGACGAGATCACGAACCGCATAGAAAAAGCTCGAAGTGCTTTTGCTAACCTTCGGCACCTATGGCGGCGGCGCGACATCACTCTCGCCCTGAAGGGTAGAGTGTACAATGCAGCGGTACGTTCGACCCTACAGTGCGGTTGCAAAACCTGGCCCCTAAGATCGGCGTACATAAAGAGGCTAGTTACGTTCGACCATCGGTGCCTTCGCAGTTTGGCTCACATCTGGTGGGAACACCGCGTGAGTAACAAGCATATTCGACGCCTTGTTTACGGCACAGAAAAAGGATCTGACCTGCTCAGCACCGTCATTTCACGCACAAGGCTCCGATGGCTCGGCCACGCGTTGCGCATGCCAGCCCATCGACTTCCACGACGTGGGTTGTTTGCTCACCGGGGATGTGGATGGAAGAAGAGGAGAGGTGGCCAAGCGATGACTTGGTCCAAAGGAATGAAGTCCCTCACTTCGGAGCTAGCCTCGGTTGGAGCGTCATGGCTCCCTGGTTGGGGTCCAAAAGACGGTGAAGACGTTTGGCTGGATACACTTGCTGATATGGCAAGGAGCCGACCTCAGTGGCGTTCCTGCTGTGAGTTTCTTTGTCCCTCCTCATCCCTTTTAGCCTCCCCCCCCCCACCTACGATCTCATTTCATAGTGTAAAACCTAAGAATTTTTTCTTCTTGCCTAGTAGTCGGCTGGTAGCTTACCGGAATGATGCCTACCCGTTGCTGGTAGCTCAGCTGGCATGCGACTTTTGTATTTATTTTCCTTTTTCATTTATGTATTGCGGCACAGTAGCTGAGGTGTTTCCCACCTCTAGCTGACGTGTATAATGATGATGCTGATACTACATCGTAGTTGTAAGGGGACAACTCTATGCGCCACCGTAAAAGTTTGTCATTCTTGATCTTCCCCTTGTGTTGGGTGTCAAAGATGAACGAAACCGAGCGTTGGTCTGTGATAAGCTTGAAATGAGTGCCAAGAAGATACTGTTTCCATCTTTCAGTGCCTTCCACGATAGCATACGCCTCTTTTTCGACGATCGAATGGTGTCGCTAGCTGCCATACAAGGTACGGGAGAAAAAAGCTATCGGTCGGCCGTTTTGATTGAGGGTGGCGGCGATGGCGATGTCCGACGCATCCGTTTCCAGGACTTTGGGATCAATTGTAACCACTGCGGCATGGATTAACTCCTTCAGATTTTCGAATGTAGTAATCACTCCGTCCGGGGGTGGGAAAGAACTGTTGTGGATCAACGGATGAATTTTGTCAGAAAAATGAGAAATTCCTTGAGTGTAGTAGGCAAATATGCCTACAATGCGCTGCTGGGCTTTTAAGTCGTTCGGGGACTGCATTTCTAGAAGCGCTGCGAATCGTGCAGGATCAGGTTTAATCAGGCTTAAAAAATTGGATACCAGAGAAACTGGATGCACTTCGAAGTAAAGGAGCATTTATTAGTATTGAGCGTAAAGCCATACTTGTTTGCCGCTGACAGGAACCTTTCTAGGTTTTCATCATGGTCTGAAGAGGTTTCGTCGCAAACCGTTATGTTGTCGACGTATGCAGAAGTTCCTGCGAGCTTTTCTTTACAAATTAACTCGTCCATGGCGCGTTGAAAGCAAGCCAAGCCATTTGTGATGCCAAACGGAATTCGTCGGAACTGATAGAGGCTGCCGCATGCCTCGAATGCGGTATAGGGTTTGTCACTTTCGTTGATGGATATTTGATGGTAGGCGGCCTGCAAATCAAGCGTACTGAAAAATTGATATCGAGCAACTTTCTGCACCATTTCATCAATCCTTGGCATCGGGTAGACGTCCCATTTCGTGAACTTATTCACGGTTTAGCTGTAGTCGATTACCAGACGTTTTCTATGGCGATCATTATACGTGACAAGAACTCGAGCATACCACGGCGAGTTGGACGGTTCGATAATATTTTCTTCGACTAATCTCTGAATTTCAGAGCGGATGAAGCATTCGTCTTCTGGGCAATATCGTCTCGCTTTCGTTGCAACCGGGGTGCAATACAGAATGTTTGTAAACAGTGAAGGTGCGTCGATACGAGCAGCTGCGAGTGAGCAAAGCGAAAATGATGGCTGTTCAACATGAAAAGGAATTTCGAGGCTTCTATTCAACTTCAGGAAATCGTGCCCCGGTAGGACATCTGCACACAAATCTGGAAGTACTGCGAGACGTACGCGCGAGTAGGTGTCCTTGTGCTTCAGAAAGACGAAACAATGACTACAAGTCGTACTTGTGTGCCTCGTGGATGCCAAGACGATTTGGTTTTGTGACCTTTCGATGCGCCCCCGATGAAGACGAATGAACCTTTCGGAAACGTAACTTTCAAAACTGCCAGTGTCAACTAGAGTTCGGAAATGTACACCGTTAACGACAACATCCGTAGCTGCACTTATCAAACAGTCAGACGCCGCCGCCGCATGTGAGGAGGACAGAATAGACGATGTGTGTTTGTAAGATCCGCGCGATTTGCAAGTCTTTCAAAAATTGCCTTTCTACCCCCATGACTTGCATATAGCATCGCGAGCCGGGCACTGAGAGCGTGGATGACGTGCATAACCACAGAAGTAACAGTTTGAGCAGGTGACAGCAAGCGGAGTAATAGGAGGGGGACGGTTCCTATGGGCGCACACTGGGTATCGGATGGAATTCCGTACGTGTGGCTGATAGAGTGGTCAGTAGGCGCACGAAAGGCATCCGATTGTTTCTGTGCCATTTCCAGTGTTTTAGCTTGGTTGACTGTTGTCTTCAAGTCCAGCGTCTTATGTTCCAATAACCGTTGGCGAATAGGATGTGATAGGAGTCCACTGATGAAGACGTCTCGCACGGATTCATCCCTGTGTTATTCCGCAGTGACAGCCTGGAAGTTGCAGTCTGGATCTTTTGCAGATACTGTTCCATGGATTGACTGACGTCCTACTTGCAAGTGGAAACCATGTGACGTGCAAAAATTTCATTTTTCGGTTGTATGTACGGAGATTCCAGTTTGGCAATGGCAACGTCATATTCCTGGCAATCAGAAATGTGGCGATAAACAGACAGTGCAAGAGAATTAACTAATATCTTCAGTTTGTCTGGACAGAGGTCGTTAACTGAATCCAGGAAATTGCTCAAAGTGCGAAGCCAATAGGTTCAAGCATCGGAGGCATCTGGTGAGTTAGGATCGGTAGCAAAACGTTCCGGTCGAAGGAAGCGATCTATTTTTGCTTTGGCAGATGAGTAACTTGTGGTAAATAACAACTCAGACACAACGTAGGACAGTTGAGCGAGAAGACAAAGGGCACGTAGATTAGGCTTTAATCACCTGATAGAATACGAGTATGAGCTAAAAACAAAAGATGCACGTGATTAATACTACGAAAAATAATGAGAGCAACATGGTACAAGAAATGCAACATACTACAATACCCTAAACGTCTGACCTGATTGAGATCCAAGCAGGTCAGACACGCTTTGTGTTATTGAAAATGATGTCGTACTTTGAGACGACGTTCAGAAAGCGATTCAATGTTGTCGATGTTCGATAGAGTCTTTTCCACAGACCGTAACGTTGTCAACGTAGGCATATATATCGACAATATTTTCTTTGGAGATTATTTCGTCAATGGTTCTTTGAAAGCAATAGATGTCATTGATTACTCCTAAAGGCATACAACAGAATTGATAAAGTTTGTCACAGGACTCGAAAGCTGTGTACAGACATTCAACAGGTTTGATAGAAATTGATGGTAAGCACTCTTTAAGACTAAGGTATTGAATGTTACAAAAGTAGCAATCTTCTGGACCATTTCGTCTAAGTTAGGAAGAAGGTATGCATCAAGGTTCATAAATCGGTTTATCGTTTGACTGTAATCTACGACCATTCACCGTTTGTCTTTCGTTGGCAGTGCCCAGTACCTGAGCTATACATGGCGAAAAGAATGGCTCGATTGTGTTTTCCTGTAGGAGATGGCTTATTTCGGAGCGAATGAAAGCCTTGTCCTAGGGACTGTATCGTTTGGACTTTGTCGCTACTGGCTTGCACTCCAGCGCGAGGTTACGGAAGAGTGACGGGGCTTCAACCTTAGCGCCAGTGAAACTAAACAAACAGGGGTGGTTTCTTGCCACCGAACAGAATCTCCAGTTTTTCGTGTGATTGAACAAAATCGTATCCGAGAAGGACATCTGAACACAGATTATGTCTGACGCCGTGGTAAACGTCTCTATTATAGGTAATTGTCACGGTGCAATGCCCACCGGTAAGCATCTGCAGTTGGGTTGAGGCATTGGATATGCGCATGCGAGACTGATTAATCTTCCAGTTTACTTTCTGAGCAACAACAGCAGATGTAGCTTTCAGAGCTTCCAGTATCAATAAGCGCTTCCAGATCCGAACCATTAACATGTATCTTGGTGACAGCCCGCGTTAAGTAACAAGGAGTAGCTACAATTGTAGAGTGAAAGAGTAATGAAGCTGCTTGGAAAGTATTCTTTCTGGATGAGTTAGATAGGCAAACTTTCCTGAAGTGTCCCTTCTTCCCACAACCCTTGCAGACTGCTTTCCGCGCCGGATATCTGGCCCGTGGATGTCGAGTACAACCGTAAAAGTAACACCTTTCGTAGAACGCAGCGGAAACGTAGTGGTTGTGGTGAAGATGGAGCTTTGACAGTTTTGGGAGGTGATCGGAATCTGTTGAACGCTGCTGCGCACGATTGGGAAATTACTGCATTTTTGAAAGACTGTGAATGTTGGTGTACCATTTCCAGTGAATCTGCTAAGACGAATAAAGTTTGAAGGTTTGTAAGTAGTATGGGGATTTATTAGGTTTTCGTGTAGGTTCGTCGCAGGCAGACAGCCACCACACATCCAGAAAAGCGCTAGACGACCGTTTCATCCTAGTGGGACTCGTCGGTAGCGCGCACCCATCGAATCCTGCCGGATTCGAACCCGCGATCTTACTCTTGCGAGTCAGCGACTTATGTCACTGAGCCATGGGCGATGGCAGCGGACCGTCATGACTGAGATCTAACTGCGATATAGCGCGCCTTATCCTCCATTGTCTTGCATGTTATGAATGTGCAAAGGACAAGGCTGGACCCCAGAGCAACGACTTCCTTTGCAAGCCGCCACCAATAGAGGTGGCATGTAAGCTGCTAAGGTGACAACTAATTATTTGTAAGCAGTAGGGGGATTTATTAGATTTTCGTGTAGGTTCGTCGCAGTTAGGCACAGGCAGACAGCCACCACACATCCAGGGAAACGCTGGACGGCCGTTTCGTCCCATTGGGACTTGTTAGTAGCGCGCACCCGCCGAATCCTGACGGAGGTGGATGAGCCGCGCTATATCGCAGTTAGATATCATTCATGGCGGTCCGCTGCCAGGGCCCATGGCTCAGTGACATAAGACACTGACTCGCAAGTGTAAGGTTGTAGGTTCGAATCCGGCAGGATTCGGGGGTGCGCGCTACTGACGAGTCCCAATAGGACGAAACGGCCGTCTAGCGCTTTCCTGGATGTGTGGTGGTTGTCTGCTTGTGTCTAACTGCGACGAACGTACACGAAAGTTTGAAGGTTTAACGCACCGTGTTCCAGTAATCGTTGTCGTCGATGAGGAGAAAGTATCCCGTAATGAAGGCGTCGCGAATGGCGCCATCACGGTTTCGCTCCGCGCTGACTGCCTTGAAGTTGCAGTCCTTAGCAAGAACTTTAAGCCTCTGAATGAAATGGTCGAAGTTAGAACCGTTATCTTGCTTGCACGTAGCTAAAATGTGGCTAGTGAAAACCTCATTTTTGGGCTTGATATATACACTTTCCAGTGCCTGTATAGCTTCGCTGAAGTTGGTACGCCCATCAATAGACATGAAGACTGATGGGGCTATGTAGTTTACCAAGATTTTCCGTTTATCGGGATTGCGAGTTTCAATAGATTCTAAGAAGTTACAAAAGGTATGGTACCAGTGAATCCACTGCTTCTGTGCATCTGGATCATTAGGATTAGCGTCAAAATGTTCCGGCCTGAGAAAAGGTTCCATGGATATTGATTCACAGACGAATAAATTGGTATAACGGAGTGATCAGACAGACCAGAGAGTGGGGAATCAAGACCTGGGAAATGACGCTTTTTTCGTCTGTGAATAGAGACGAGGACTAGAAGTGTAACGGATAAAAGAAGTGTAGTGGAGATGAGATTTGCAAAGATGGATAATATCACACATCAATAGCGACAAGGTCAAGTGGTGTTAGTTTTGAATCGAAAACAAGAAGGTAAAACATGCCCCATCCTGGTGACTCGTGCATGGACAGTAGTGTTATACTCAGTAACGTGTTGGAATTCAAAGCCGTCCTTTCTACTGAGCGCATTTTTGATGACCGGGTTTCCTCAGTGTTACTTTAGGAAGCTGACTAAACTGAGGACCGTCCTAATTGGTGCGCCAAATTCTCGACCTCGCCTACTGCGCGTAGTCTTGATCACTCTGGAGGGACGCAGAGCGTTATTGCGGTTTGCGTGCAAACTTAAGAGTAGTAAGGTTTGAGTACAACCAGATGTTCCGCTGGCGGACAGACTGAAATTAAAAGAAGCTATAACGGATCTCAAGAACAGGTGAGCGGCAGAAGAACAAGGTCTTCGATTAGTGGGTTTTCAGGTGATTAGTCGACAGTCCATTTCCTTCCTGCCGCCGCCCGTTTCACTAGCACACGACGCAGAACCGATCATACCGAGTTGCATCAT